ATTATTATTATTATTATTATTATTATTATTATTATTATTATTATTATTATTATTGCTATTATTGCTATTATTGTGTACATGGTATAAATTGTAAAAAGGAACGTATTTACTATAACATATTCATTTTACGGGGATTTACGAGATCCTTCGAATGAACAAATTGTTTAAAATAAAGTGAAGGAATAAATACAATATTGACCAATTAACATTTATTGTTCAATCTCCTCCCGCTAATTCCACTTACGAATTATATTATATCATCTACAATTGCTTTTTTCGAATCTTGAACGAATTATACTATGAAGAAATAAATTTTGTACCGTTAAATTAAAAAGAAAATATCTCAGAGAGTGAACGGAAAAATGGGAAAGTCGTTCTTCTTTCTCCTCTCAAGCGTTATTCTTAGGCGCCGATACGTCGATACCTCTAACAGAAAGCTCAATGTGGACGCGAAAAGCCCAAACGCGAGGATGTAGAACGCAAAGTCAAGATCGTTCAACGTCATCACGTTGAAATTTCTCTTCTCATCCTCGGCAGTCCTCTTCAACCATTTGTGCACGTATTTGGCCATCACCTTTTCCCACCAATGATCGATCAATCCGGTCTCCGACAGGTGCAACAGCATCGAGGTGAATCTATCTTTCAACGGCCAATTAGGGCGTACCACGTATGCCGAGAACAAAGTATTTATCCTATGCTTCGAAAGATGAAGCTTCTTTTCGAAAGCGATTTTCAGCAACGTGGTTCTGTCCGCGGCGCAGGCCACGTTCTTATCTTTCCTCACGTACTCGCTACAATCCCAATGATCCACCATCTTCACTCGAGTGAACAGCACGTCGTCGAACACGGCATTTCTATATCCGTGATACGCGTAGATCTCGAAACCAGCCCTCTTCAATTCTTCGTCCGAGTCTATCGTTAGTCTAGGAACCGGTGAGGTGAGCAAAGAAGACAGATTACTCTGGAAGATCGAAGAGGTCAGCATGAATAAAAGGAACACGGTGGTCAAATAGACTCTCCATGCACCTTGTCTAGGGAAATGTAACATAGAATTGTTTAACGCTATTCGAATCACTTCTAAGCTCGCGTTTATCATTCCTAGACCTACGAATATTTCCAGAATGAGCACAGTGATCACACAAACCACCGCGCAACACAAAATGAACACAGGATTCATAAACTTCAACACCTTCACGTATACTGCCTCGTTATCCGGATACCTGGTCAGAATACTGATTCCTGAATTCACGTGGGGATAAGTGGTGGTCATATTCGGCTTATTGAAGACGTACTGAGTATTCAGGAACACGTCGTACTTTCCATTTGCCACCAAGTGCAGGAACTTGTAGGAATGAGTGTCGTTCGTGATCCCGGTTACCGTCATGCTTCCGTTCAATTTGGACAACAGTATTTCGGTTATTATGCCGTTGAAACCACCCAACTTGCCTGTACTTCCTTTCGAAAGATCGATCGTCAGGCTGGGAGGATTGTGCAGACCTATTCCCTTCACTGTGTATCCTCCCAGTGTGGCTGTTTTCGCGAAGTCCAAATTGCCGCAGGTTGTCCGACCTAGAAACGCAAGGCTATATTATAGTTTTCGATCCAGTGGTGGGTGTGTTCAATTGCTCTTTTACCAGGATGAAATGTTCGAGTAAACAGAGTCCAGGGATGATCACGATTGTTTGTCTCGTGTTTCCCTTTTCTCATTTTCTGCCAGGATTTTGGTGCTTGCGAGGTAAACGGATTGAACGTGTACATTCTGAATTCGGTGTTGTGGTCTGTGATACAGAAAAATATGGAGGATAACAGGTCTTTCTTCCAAACGGTTTTTAAGAAAGGACGAGCGTTTTTGCAACCATTTCGTGCAAAGTTGTCGTCTAGAATAATGTAGAGTGCAGATGGGTTCCACCAGGTTGTGCGTTCTAATTTCGTTATTGTACTTTCTAAATGTTCAAGAGTCGATGGAATTAGGACGAATGTGTGCAGATTTTGATCTCTTTCAATTCGTGAAAGATAAGCAACGTCGTTGATATTAATTAAAGGAATCGCTTTTAAAGGTGGTTGAATAAATATCCTTAAATTAGTTAGAACACCAATGTTGTTTACTTCTATCTTTTTACAAGCACTCAACACCAAACTCTAC